GGATTAGCCCCTGTTCACTTTACCCAAACTCGGGAGGTTCTCCATGGGGCATCTCGGGCCTGTCCCTGAAGCTCTGCTCTGCTTTTCAGGATTTGGGACAAAGGGTAGCCTGACTGCCTGTGGCAGGTGCTGAGAGGCCCATTCTCTTCGGCCCTGGGTTCCATTAGAAGTTCTACTTGGGTGTCCCTTCCAGCCTTCAAAATATTTGTCAGTTCACTGATTGAGAGGCATTCAAAAGAGGGTGAGCATGGGGTGACGGGCTCCAAGTAAAAGCAGTAGCTGTTTATTCAGGGTTCCTCATGAACCAGGCACACAGGCCCACATCCCTGTCTTTCATGTTGATATTGTCCTCATTTTACACATGAGCAACCTAAGGCCCAGCGAGGACAATTCACTGGTCCAAGGTCACACAGCTAGGACGCATGCTGCTATTCGAGCCTGGACGAGAGCAGACTTTAAAAGTGGGCACTTAAAGGAGGGGTCGGGTACGCCTGGGTGGCTCAGTGGTTGAGCATCCGCCTTTGACTCAGGTCATGATCCCAGGGTCCCGGGATCAAGTCCTGCATCAGGCTCCTTGCATGGAGTCTGCTTCTCCCTCTGCCTGTGTCTCTGCCTCTCTCTGTCTCTCATGAATAAATAAATAAAATCTAAAGAAGATTAAAAAAAAGAAGAGGGGCTGGGCTTGTGCCGTCTGACATCTTTGGTTCTGTGCTTATGCCTCCTTGGCATTTCCATGTCCTGTGGGTGCTCAACGGATTGCAGTGGGAGAGTTGAGGCAAAGGATGGAACAGAAGGGTCTGTGAGGATGCGAGACATGGATTCACATCCTGACACTTGCTGGTCATGTCAGCTGTCTGGGCCTCACTCTTTTCATCTGTGAAATGGGACACAGTGAACACAGCAGGCCACTCTGCTTCCCTCTCCCTTTAGTGGCTCCCTAGCTGCAGGATCAAGTCCCTCCCCTTCCTAGTGTGGCTTAGAGATGCCTGAGCATTCCGGCCCAGCTCTGCTCTCCAGCTTCCTGTCTCATCTAAAGCAAGCTGTTTCTCAGGCCACAAGCAGAGCCAATCCTCTTTGTCTTCCAGGCCCTTGGGCGTGCTGCCTCTGGGGAGGGGGTGCCCTCTGCTGAGCTTTCCTGGGTGAGACACAATGGGGTGGCATTTGAACCCAGGCCCTGGGGATTGCCACCGTGATCACTGCAAGAGCACGCTGGGGGACCTGTGTACTGCACAGGGGAGCATCACCTACTATGCACATTCAAGAGAAAGGAGTTGAAACCTTTCCAGGGAGGGCGGCTCTGGTAGGGACTGGACACCAGCTGCCCCCCCGCCCCCAGCCTCTAGTTGGCCAAAATGAGCATTCCTCAATGCTCATTCTGCCCCCCTGCTCAGATGGGCCTCGGCTGCTCTGGGGTGGGGGTGGGCAGGAGAAACCCAGATGGGTGCAGACAGGGTGGTTGGGTTCAGTGTTCTGACCAGGTAGACAGACGCAGAGCCCACGAGGTCCAGACTAACCAGCTTATTCCTCAGGTTTAAGGGCCAAGGAGCACGGGGTAGGCCTTGCTGCGAAAGTCAACCCGGACTCCCACATGCCACCAGGGCTTCAAGCTGGAGGCTGGAAACTCAAAGGCCTATGGGGCCTGGGGAGCAATCATAGTGAATGGAGTCCAGCAGTGGCCCCGCTGGCCCGTTGCTGTCTCACCCTGGACAGAGGCGGATTCAGAGGTGGCTCAGCTGGAGGCGCAAGTGCCCTGGTCGATGGTGCCTGAGTGCTGGAGAGGCCAGGAGACGGGGGCACCCGGCTCCTCTCCCCGGGCCGCCCCCCTGTCCCTGTGGGAACGGGAGCCCCACGTCACCCGGAGCAGGTGTTGCCAGACTCCTCCCGCCCTTACAGCCCACTCTGCGTACTTACAGTGCATTCTGGAAACTTCCAACCGCCGGCATCTCTGGGCCCGACGGCTCATTCCAGAATTCTGGAATGCTGTTTTGCCGGCAAGTTTGTGCTGGGGAATTAGTATTCAGCCAAAGTCTGACAAGGACTGGTGTAGGAACCCTCCAGGCTCACTCATTGGGGGGGGGGGAGAAGGAGTCTAAGGCTCCGGCTTTACTGTTTCCTGGAGGGGGCAGCTGGCCTAGCAGGGGACCTCCCCCCCCCCCCCCCCCCCCCGCTCTCCCCCACACCCCCTCCCCTGCTGGCTTCCCCACTCCCCCTCCCCGCTGGCTCCTCCCACCCCCTCCACCCCTGCTGGCTCCCCTCCACCCCTGCTGGCTCCCCCCACCCCTCCTCCCCTGCTGGCTCTCCCCCACCCCCTCCCTTGCTGGCTCCCCCCACCCCCTCCCCTGCTGGCGGGCTGCAGGGCCCAGATAAACCCCTTGCTCTCTAACCCTTATCTCAGCATCAACTTCAGGTGTTACTCAAACCAAGACACCTGATGTTCAAGAGGCAGCAGGAAGCTGGTTTTCACATAAAACCCCTTACTTTTTAAGTGTCGGCCTCTGATGCCAATTGTTTAAAAACAACACCAGACACTGTCTGGGCCGCACATCCAGGGTCGGTTCGGTCCGGGGCGGGTGGTGTGCCTGGGTCCTGAGTTCTCAGAGTTGGTGGCCGTGGCTCTCCTCGAGGGTGTTCTTTTTTTAGCAACTTGGCTGTCTTCCTCCCCGGCATCTCACGCGGATGACCCCTCCTTGTCATCACCCCCCACCCGCCTTCCTTCCTCTCTTTCTCACGGTCTGATTTTCCTGGGCCCGCCCCTCCCGCTGAGCCTTTACTACCCACTTGTTCTTCCAATAAACCGCCCAGCAGGTTTAGCAAGGGGTTTACTAGCTGCGGGAGGTGGATTACATCTCCAGGGAACCTGTTTACGGTCGGTAACCTTTGTCCTGCTGTTTAAGAAATGGCTCCTTTTAAGAGTTACCTCCAAGCTCAGATCAACGGTGTCCTGTGGTGTTTACGCCTGGTCTGGTTCCCCAGGGTGCCCACCCTCTGTGGGGGTCACCGCACCTTCTGGGTAATGCCGCAGAGGCCCTGCAGGTGTGGGCTGAGTTGAGGAAGCCAAGGACCCAGGGTTTCAGGCGACCCGGAGGTTTTAAGACAGCAGGGTGGATGCCTCAGGGTGTGAACTTTGACCCCTCCCCCCAGTGCCCCTGAGGCTGCTACATTCTCAACCGGCCAACTCGTTCCTGGCCAGCAGCTTGAGAATGGTCCGAAGGTGGGATGGGGCCCTGACTCTCAAGCCTGAACTTTTTTCCCCACCCTCCTTACCCACAACCTTCTTGTCTGCTTGTCATGGCTTTTCGTCCCATATGCTTATATCTGCAGGTTTCTGAGAGCTACAAGGTGTTCAGTAGAATGCTAGCGTCTTGAAAAGGTTGTTTGGCCAAAAACACTTCTCACGATGAAAGAAAGATGAAAGAAAAACAGTTGTGAGAGAATTCTGGTCAGCTGGGGCAAAGGAAAGCAGGACTTCTCAGAGCCTTTAAGATGCTAACATGCACTGTAACTTCCTAAGCACGGTTAGGCGACCGCAGCTCCTCCAGACGCTTGAGGAGACACACTGATGCAGACTCCAGTGCTGGGCCTGCCGTGAGCAAATGACACAGGTCCCAGGCCCCTGCTCGTGGCCCAACTGCTTCCCAGATGGATCCAGCTGACTGTCCCTCCCTCGGAGACCCCGTGGAGTATTTGGCTCCTTCCCAGGGTTGGGTAACTCGGAGAATAGTGGAAGAAGATTCAGGAGTCTCAACAGGCCTGAGAGCAGGGAGGAAGTTTGTCTCCAGGCTGCGCTGGTGACTGAGGGCGTGAGTGGGTGGGAAGGTCTCCAGGCTTCTCTGCTCTATGATTATGGCAATTTGTTTCTCCAGGAGGTCATTTGTGGTAGGAAACATAGCCCAGAAATTAAATTAAATATATGCAGTCCCCAGAAGAGTGGACGCAGCAATGGCACCTGGCTGGGGGTGGGGTGGCAGAGATATTCAGGTTGGGGTGTCATTGCAAACGGCTGTATTTCAAGGGTGGGGAGGAAGATGGTTTGAGTTCCCAAGGCCTGGCCTGGGTGAAATGGCAGAGGTACGGGTTTGAGTTTTGGGGAAGGGGTCCCATTCCTTCACATCATGCCTCCCTCTGTTGTCACCTCCCTCCAACTCCAGGTACCCAATTGCTCACGAGTGCTCAGTCGTTCTCTCCCTCTTCATGGCTGCTGCTGTCCTGTCTCCCCTGTGCCCCAAAACCCACAAAGCTTTACCAGCTCCGTCTTCTCAGGTTCCAATAAAAAAAAAAAAAAAAAAAGAGGAACCCTCTTCCTTGGGAGATGCCTATTGTCTCCAGGTGGCTGTTAGGAGACAAAAGGGCCAAAATCTAATTGGCACTACAGTGATGAGTCAGGTCGTAACGACTTGAAAGGACCCCATTCCATTTCTTAGCCGAAAGGGTCTTTGACGATCGCCTCATGTGGTTTTTGAGATTTTGTTGAAGGCAAAGGACTCTTAGGTGCCATTTCAACATGTGAAGCAGATCGATATGTAGCTGCTCCGGGCGAGAGGGCATTGCCTGCTTTTTCAGCTGACTTCTGGAACAGCAGTTGTAAGTCGCTGATTACATGCCTCGTTCTCAAGGAAACTAGGGCTCAGAGGAGGGAAGTGACTTGTCCAAGGTCACAGGGCCAGACAGTGGCAAAGCCGGGACTTGTCCCCCGGTCCCCTGACCTCTAGCCAATGCTCCTGTCCCTGCCCTGTAACACTGGGGTATTCATGTCTCAGACCTCATCCTTGCTGCCGGCTCCAAGCACAGTTGCCACCAGCTCTGCCATCTTGGTGACGTAAAAGGATCATCACACCCCCTGCACTCAGCCATGCTTCCCCGAGTCTTTCACTTCTCAGGGCCTTTCCTCTGCCCTGCCTCAGGCTAGAAGCACCCCTTTCCTACTGCTGCTAATTTTGTTTCTTGTTAATTTTTGATGGCTGCTGAGAACAAATGCGAAAGAAAGGCAGAGACACATTGGAGACTTTGCTCACTGCATGTTTTCATTTTTAATTAAATAAGTCAAGTATGCCATCGAGTGACGGTTCACATTCTGTTCCACAAAGCAGACCCTGACGGGCTCTCTGAAGGGCAGCCCCCTGCGTCTCCAGGAGACGGCCGACCGTAGCCGTGACAAGGACAGCCGGGGCACGTGATGGCAAGGGGCTGGAGCCACGTGGCCGAGCACAACGAGCTGCATGCTACACATCCACACGTGTGGACACGTATGTACACGGCCACACACGGCCATGAAGGGAGGGTCCCATATCACATGACCATGAACCGTGACACAGGGCCGAGGGCTTGGCAAAAAAATGGAGTTTGTGGGACCCAGGAGGGAGCAGGGGAGCCAGGCACAGGGGGCCTAGAACACACGGACCAGATGGAGACTTCTGGGGTGCCCGATTCACTCCCAATGGTAGAGGAAGCAGGGTATTTCCCCCAATAAAATGCCTGGTCTACATTATGAGCTGGCCCATGGGGGTGGCACCGCGTCCATACCCGTGGACACACACAACTGCTCCGGCCTCCAGGCACAGTCACGGAATGATGAAGCACACGAGACCAAAAGATCTCAAAGCTCTTAAGACATCTGAACTTGTCACTTCTGTTTCATCCTGTTGAGGTAAAGGGCAGCTGCCACTATTCCTGAAGTTGTGGGCAGCGGAGAGCTGATGCGGCTGCATTCAGGAGGTGCCCAAGGAGCCTTCCGCCTCTCATCCGGCTGGACCACGTCCTGGCATCTCCACTAGCAAACCCGCCACCTTGGGCCCCCCGGACTTCAGCCGATGCTCCTTCCGCTTTGCACAGATCAGCAAGGCCTACTCGGCTTCTGAGGATGCGTTTCCCCATGCCCACCCCCTCTTCTTCCTGCCTTGGGAATGCATCCCCTCAAGACCCATCTTTGCTTTCAGCCTCGGGGATGGGACCAGGGGACCAGGGGACCGCCTCAGGGATGCAGCCATCTGGTCTTCGGCTCCCGTCCTTCATAATCCTTCATAATCAAGGGGCAGGCCCTAGAGTCAATTAAAACAGGTCCATTCCCCCCTAATGTGGGAAAGGACCACCAGGGCTGGAAGAGACCCTTGGGGTCAGGACCAGACCATCTGATGCTTCCATCTCCGGGCCAAGCATGCATCTTCTGGGACAGGGATCCCCTGACTTCCTGCTGGAACTTACTCCATCATCAGACAGGGCAGAGGTGGTGGGGGAAAGATGCCCTTGTGATGGGTGGGGTAGGCCCTCTGCTCTCAGGGCTCCAGTCAGCTGCTGCCCCTTTACACCAGCCCTGGGCAGAAGCTTCCATCCAGGCTGAGGGTACTGACAGCGAGTAAACTCTTCATTGAACTTTTTTTTCCTATTCATTTACTTATTTATTTTCAAGTGTATGCATCACATAAAGGGACCAAAGGCAAGAATGTGTTCATGTCTCAACCTCAGGAAGAGCTTGGTGATAACCTGCAGTGAGGGGTGGGCAGTAGGTGGGAGGGTGCCACGGAGCTGTGAATCTGCTTCTTTCTTCCTCCCTCTGGGGACTCAAGGACCCTGCTCCCCACCGACTGGTCCCTGAAATCCCCATCCCCAACCTGGCGCCTTATTCCCTCCAAGGTGTACAAACAAGGCTGGAGGAGAAACCAGGAATAGGAGGCAGTGGTGACAGCCTGTGGGTGTTAAGACACTCCCCTGTCTCACTAAGGTCTGGAATGTTCTGTACTATTTATATAGGCCAGGCTAAAGAGGTCTTCGTCAAGAAAAAGAAAATGAGTAAACACTCACTGCTGAATGGACCTCTTGTTCCGGGAAGCTGGCAGCCCCAGAGGTAAGGCCTCAACTGCTCCCTGTCTGCAGGCAGGTGGACGCTATGCGGGGGGAAAGCTCCGGTAGAGCCGGCAAGAGCAGAGAAACCTGTGCTGGCCTTGCTGGAAAAGGAGGCACTTGCCTTAGCTGGACCCCCTTCCTCAGCCCAGCTGCCTGCTGAAAACCACAAATGCACCCCCACCAGGTCCCCAGAGTGGAAAGTCAGTAGTTGCCCCCACCCTGTCCTTCCCCAAACCACAAAGGTTCCCAGAGCGCTGCTGAGCCCCAAGGCAACACTCACGCGCGCGCGTGGTGTCCTGTCTCAGACACCAGGGCAAAGGGAATACAGCAGAAAGGGCCTTAGAAGTCGCATCTTCAAAGCAACAAGAGAAAACCAAGGTACCTCCTTAGCAATACCCTGGGGCCAGGGCAACCCCTTGCCCTTGGGTTTACTCTTCTCTTGCATTCTGAATCATCTTCGAGAGTCCTCGTGTGCATGGCGTGAGTCAACGCTTTCTATCACTGTTTTGTCTTGATTTGGGTACAGCTTTGAGTCCCTGCAAATAATAAGGCATTTTATGTCTCTCCTTTGTCACAAAATAAATAAATTAAGTCAATGTGCAGTGTACAAATTGTCAATGTCCTGAGAAGTCCCAAAGGTCCATTCTCGGCACTGTTCTCTGAGCTCGGGGGTGGATGCCTCGGCCCCAGAGGCAAAGGAAGGAAGGAAGCAGTTTACTGTCCACACCAGGAGGGCCCCAAGAAGAGCCCCAGATGGAGGTGCTTGCCTCCGTCCTGCCCCGGCCCCCACCAACCACAGGTGGGGAACAGTGTAGGGAGCAGGGTGAGGCTGGGGAGGAGCAGCCAGCAGAAACATCTGGGTCTCGCTCTGCCCCGGGGTCAAGTTTGCAGAGCTGGAGTCCCTTTGGACCCCAAATCAGAGCCAGCTCCCTGCACAACTTATTCTGGGGCTGGAAACCCAAGGCTGGAGACCCCCTTGAATGGCTGTAGACCATGGGGATGGAGACCCAGCAGCTCCAAATGCGGTGATTATAACAGACCCCACAAATGGCTAAGGTCCCACCCTCTCAAACAGCAGCTTCTGGCCAGGACACACTCCCCATGGCAGCACCAGCTGGACTCAGATCCTCTATTTCCCTTGTGCCCATGTTACTCAAACCGAAACTCAGCCCTCTGGGTTTGACAACAGGACAGATCTGACATAGAAGTTGTCCAGGAAATGAGAAACAGCCCTCGTGAACTTGGGCAGCTCTTCGAGTTCTGAAGTGGACTCACTTCTGCTCCCCAGTTTGGGGACATTTGCTGTTTGGCCATAGGCCCCTGACCCCCCAGGAGATGCATTTGGACCTGGAAGAGACGTTCAAATCAGGCCTCATCTCGGGGAGAGGGTGAGAGCTGATTTATGTTGCTTCTGGATAGACAGCAAAGAACCCTGGTGGTTTCTGAGATTCATTCCACATGGGGTTCAAACAGAAAAGCCCGTGGGGCACTGCAGGATGCCAGGTGGCGCCTAGGCTCTGTTCCTTCTGGGGAAAGCTCTTCCTCCTCCTCCTCCTCTCCCTTCAGCAGGAGCCAGAGTGCTCCCTGCTGGTCCTCCCAGCCCCCTCAAGCCCAGATCACTTCCAAGCATCACTCCTGCAGAAACAAGATCAGAAACATAGCCACAAAACAAGATACCAAACTATAAATAACTTTTTTTAAAAAAGTCCAAATAAAACACCCAGCCTATCCCAAGTTGAGCAACACTCTTCCCAGAGCCCTGAAAGCTGGAATTCCAGACACTAACCATGTAACCATGGTGACCAACCAGGGGCTGACCTCTGTCCCCCGTCTTCTCAGGGGAGGGGGTACCCTGATGTGACTTCTCCCCCAAGAGCACTCTGCATTCTCTTCTAGGCCCGGCCCCACACAAGGCCTGACTGGAAATGGCAGGACTCAGGAGCTGCTTTTTGGCTCCAGTCAGGCCCGAGGCAGCCTTCAAACATGGACAGGCTCTCAGGGAGCCAGCCCAGCTGGGACGGGGCATTTGGGCTGCAGTCACGTGAGACTTGGCCCACCATTTCAAAACATCCTGCCTGCCAGCAGGGAGGACGTGAATGGGCCGGAGGAGGTAGCCAGGAGAAACCAAGGCAGGCGGGGGCCACAGACTCGGCCGTTCTGTATCTACCGTTCAGTCCCAAATCTGGTCGGAATGGGGTCATGGCCTGGGACCATGTTTCCTTCCCCATCCCCAAATGATTCTAAAAATGTAATTAAAGCCTCCTCTTTGGGTGTGTGATTGTTAAACCCTGTGGGCCTAAAGCAACAAGGAAGACTGTGGATGTGTATACGTGGATTTGATTTCTACAGTTTGTGTGTGTGTGTGTGTGTGTGGTGTACGTAGAGGCACTGTCTTTACCCATGTAGGTGTGTTTCGTAGCTCTGTGCAGGGCTGATTTCATCAGTAACCAGCATGGCTATTTCATTTATGAAAATACTGAATCACTCTTGGTTGAAAAGCCTCAATTGCCATCCTCAGACGTTCTGGGCCATTCCGGTCCCTCCCCAGGGATCCGTGCAGATGGCACACTGGGTTGTGTAGAAATCCAGAAACTGAAAGATGAACATGAGTACAGCAGGAAGCCTGTGACCAGTCGGTGCCCACAGTCCCTTCTGGTTAAGCCCTCGGACTCTGGCCCACAGGGTCTGCAGGCATTTATGCCTGTTTTTTTTGTTTGTGTGTGTGTGTGTGTGTGTGTGTGAGAGAGAGAGAGAGAGAGACAGAGACAGAGACAGAGACAGAAAAAGGCTTGTCAACAGTTCTGGGCCCGTGTGGGCCTGCGAGGGCCTGCCCGGGAGGCTGCGGCCCCTTAGGCCTGGGTCTGGCGGTCCTTGCCGGACAGGCAGCGGCTCGCTCTCGGGGAGACCCCAGCCCCAAGGCTGCGGTGGGAGAGCTAGCTGGCGGAGGGGGGCGCCTACTGCTGCGGCGGGGGGACGGCCTGGCCCGCGGGGGAGGCCGCTGGCCGGGCGCCCCCTACCCTCTCTGCGGGAGCCACCGTCTCAGGGGCGGCCGGGGCGCGAGCAAGGCAGGTGGGCCTTTGACGAGGAGGGCGGCCTACGTGACCCAGAAGGTTCCCCGCTCCTCCAGCAGGCTGACGGAGCGGTTGGCCAGGGAGGCGGCGTCCCGCGCCAGCCGGTAGCCGAAGAGGCGCATGGCGGGCCCGCAGGCGGCCTGCACCACCTGCGCCAGCTTGAAGGGCATGCCGAAGCGCCACTTCTCGAACTGCTCCGAGGAGTTCTTCTGCGTGGAGTAGATGCCGCTGGCGTCCTGGGCCGCCTGCGTGTTCCTGCGGATCCAGTCCTCCACCTGCGCCGTGAGCGGGATGCCGGCGAAGCGGTACATCTCGCGCGCCTTCTGCAGCGGCCAGCGCGCCACGTCCTCGTAGCGCACCAGCATGTAGCGGCCGCGCAGCCAGGCGGGCTGCCGCAGGCCCAGCTCGGCCGACAGCCGGATGCTCTCGCAGTTGCCCCGCAGCCGCTGCACCTCCTCCTCGCCCAGGCGCGCCTGGCCCTCGGCCAGCCACTTCTTCCAGCCCTCGTACTTGCCGGCGAAGGCCACCATGCGGGAGGCCAGCACGGCGCGCGGGTCCCGCACCAGCTGGATGACGCGCAGGTCCAGCCGCGGGTCCTCGGCCAGCGGCTGCAGGAACTCCAGCTGCCGGATGCGCACGGCCTTGAGCGCCATGTGGTCCTTGCGGCGGCAGGCCTCGGCGGCCAGCGTCACGTTGAGCGGCCCGCAGCGGCGGTTCTTGCAGTGGTACTTCTCGAAGACCTTCTTGACGAAGGGCGTGCACACGGGCTCCTCGCACAGCGAGCGGCTGGAGCCGCGGCGGAACATGAACTGGGTCAGGTGGTCCTCGGGCAGCGGGCTGATGAAGTGCTCCAGCACGTACAGGTCGCACAGGAACAGCTGCTTGAGCACGTCGCGGTAGACCAGGGCCGCGCCCGCCGCGTTGGCGCCTCCGGGCTCGAAGGTCACGGTGCGCTCGATGTGCCACAGCGGCTCGAAGAGGTAGAAGATGTTGCCCTGCTGGTTGAAGAATTCGCCCACGAACGAGGAGCCGGTGCGCGTGGTGGCCATGAGGAGCACGTGGCGCCGCGGCCGGGCCTGGGTGGGCCCGGATGGCCCCCCTTCCCGGGCCGCGGCCTCCAGCCTGGCCTCGGCCTCCCCGGCGGGCTCTACACCCAGCTGCAGACTCAGGTTCCGCAGGCGGCCCTTCAGCTGGGTGAAGGCTGAATCCAGCTCGCTCAGGGACAGGAGGGACGCGTTGTCCACCAAGATCAGGGCCGGGTCGGTGCTGTTGGCGTCCACCAGGGGTTGTGGGATCTGCTTCAGCTTGTCTGACACCCTAGGGGCGAAAGAAGGGAAATCGGGGTCAGCGAGTGACCGGAGGCGCCATCCCTTGTGCAACCCGAAGCATCCTCCCGGGGCCATCACCCCAGGCCTCCCTTAGCTGGGTTTCCCCGGAAGCCGACTTTGGAGCAAGGATTTGAGTTTAGCCGGGACATGGTCACAGGGAGAACTGGTAGAGAGGTAGGAGGTGAGGTGGGGAGAAAAAGAGGTCTGTAAAAAGTGAGCAGGTGTCCCTGTGGGCAAACCAACCCCACAGGGGCACACCCGAGGATTGTCTCGCTCAAGGGTTGTGAAGCTCCAGCTGGTCTTAGCTGAGGGCTGCTCCCAGAGGTATCCCTAGCTTACCCGTGTGCGGGGAGACAGAAAGCTCTCTGGCAGAGAGCTGCAGGGGCTGGCAGTAGGACCCTGTGGGCCCCACCTGGAACAGTCCATGCTGAGGAACCCAGGTGGGGCAGTGGCACAGTGCCTGCTACACAGGCCATCCCTGGCGGCTGCTTTCTTGGAAGGTGTTGTGCTGGGAGAGCAGGTCTAAGAAATCTTCTTGTGTCTAGCAGGCTCTCCAGCAGAACCACTGCACACGGTGGAATGCCACCTCCAGGGGTGGCATTCCTAGTGTAGCCGAGGTGAGTGCACAGCCCCAGAATTTAGCAGTATACAACCTGGACGGCTGCACACGGCAGCCCTGCCCATCAGGGTATGTGTATCAGGACCCCGCCTTTCCATGGGTTCGCCCTCAACCATGGCCTCGGGCTGGTTATGGGCTGTTAATGTGAGGTGTCATCCTAGCCAGGAAGTAAATGAATAATAATAGCCATGGTCAGCAAGTATTAGATGCCAACTGCATGCCAGGCACTGAGGTAAATGTTTTACATGTCCTGATTTAATCTTTATAAGGAAGGCCCCATCGTTAGCCGTATTTTACAGAACTTAGGACACAGAAGAGTGAATTTGTTCAAGCTGTCACAGCTAGAAAGAGCCAGAATAAGGATTCCAACCCAGGCTGCCTGAGTCCAGAGCCCAAGTGTTACCCCTATGTAGTCCTGAGGACGTGTGCAGGACCACTGCCTGGGCACAGGAGGGGCCTGATTATTACTGGTTGAAAGACTGCCTTTGTAGGTCCACGAAGAGCCCTATAGCTACCTCTCTCCCCATCCGCCCCTCCCTGATAAGGAAGACTTGTGCTTGTATCCCTCACCTTGATATGATTTTATTTTCCTTTTCAATGAAGACAAAAACCACCACCACAAAAGCCAGGAAAAGGGCATATTTGCTCCTCATCCTCAGGCTGTGCAGAAAGTCCCGGCAGTCCTGGGGAAAAGCGAGTCCTTTCTCCATGGGGAAGGGTGGGGCAGTGGGCACTCAGCTCAGGAGCATCTCTCAGGGCCTGGCTGGTCGTCTTCAGGTGGGGGACACCCTTGTCCTGTGAAGAGACCGGTGGTCAGGACACCCCTGTCTGGAGATGAGGAATGAAGATGAGTTTTTCCACCCAACTTACAAGGGTTGTGGCCCTGATTAGGCAGCCAGAAACCCAGACCCACTCTCCCAGTGGATGAGAGGTGAGATCAGATCATTTCAAATGCCAATCAGCCCTATGATTCATTCATCCCACTTCCATCAATTTATCCTTTGACCTCACATGTAACTCAAGGGCAAGTACACTCAAGGGCAAGTACGCAGTAAGAATGCTCCTTGCACTATAAATGTCTGCATTCGCAAAAGACTACAAATATCTAAATAAAAAATGATGGAGATGGCCCTATGAGTGCTGATGCGAATAACCTAATACATATACTAGATCCTTCACTCGGTCCCTTCCAAAATCCCTTACATGGCCCTCACGTCTCAGCCTCCTGGAGCAGCCTCCCGGTGGCTAGGTTAGGGCTCCCCTGTGCCCACCACCACGCAAAGACTCCTATTAGCACCTGAGACTGTCATAATGTGAGCCCACTTGGAGCGTTTTGTTCAATGCTGATCATCCCTCTGTGGAGTGCAGGGAGTTTGTCCAGGACCCTCATTATCCTTTAGCACCGGGGCGGGCACACAGGAGACACCCGAGCACGGTCGCCACATAGCAGAACGGATAAAGGAATAAATGACCCTCAATGGAAGATGCATACAATTTGAAAAGCTGGGGCAAATACAGCACGGCCTGATGGTGCCCATTTCCTGCATTCCTCCTCACCATCACACACACCCCTGTCCTGCATCATGAGCCCCGGACTCCAGCACAACACCCACCCCCCCGCCCCCCATTGAAAAATCTATCCCTTCTCCATAAGGACCTTCATCCAAGGGTTACTATTTGCTCCAAGTGTGGAGAAGTCTCGTGACCCGGTGCAGAGCACCCAGGATCATCTCTCCTTCTGGAAAAGATGGATATTCCCACAGAAAGCAGCTGATGTCAACATGGGGGAGCAGGAGGGCAGGAAGGCAGGTCCCAGGACTGTACCTGCATCACACAATGGAAGTGGCCAGAGGGACAGTCAGAGCATGTCCTTTGGGGAAGGCAGGTGGGGCGGGGGCTCTGCAACGCAAGGAGGCAGACGTGTAGCCTGGCAGCTGAGTGGCGGCACCCAGCTTTGCGGGGCAGAGGGGTGGTGAGATGTCCTGAGTGTGGGTGACTGGAGAGGGGCTCAGGAGGGAAGAGGCCTGCAGGGCCAGCTCCAGGGCAACTGGAATATTCCTGCCCCTTCCTAATTCTCCTGGGTCTTTCCCCACACACTCACTAAACAACTCCTTTCTGAGCACCCACTCTGTGCCAGCCTCTGGTCTAGGCTCTGGGGATACAGCAGTAAACAGGCAGACCTGGTCCATGCCCTCAGGAAGCTTCCATTTGGGTTGGAAAGGCCAACTGGAATTATTTGGGTAGCCAAAATTTATTGAGTGCTTACAGCTCTGTGGCCGGTGCCAAGCTAAGCACTTGATGTGCATTTCCTCATCAGATCCTTACAGTCCTATTAGGTAGCAACTATCCCATTTTATAGATGAGGAAACTGAGGCCAAGGGGTTAAATCACCTGTCCCAGTTTCCTCCAGCAGCAGCCTTCATCACCTCCCCAAGATCCAGGTCACTTGAGCCTCTCTCTGCTCCCCAGTTACCCCTTCCATAGCGCATATGGTTGGGCTTTCCAGCTGATGGTCTGTCTGTCTTCCCTTCTCAGACTCCGAGTCCCCTGAAGTAGGGACTTGTGTCTGGAACGGCACCCACCATATACCAGCTGCCCGACAAAACATGAGTGAGCAAACCTGTCAAAGCTGGTGCCTGGCAGGCTGTCACATGAATTTGCAGAATGACGGGCAGATCTAGGTTCCCCGTTTAGTCCATGGTGGGGTGCGAGGCCACCCGTACCTCTGGAAGGGTGAGACTCGACACTGAGTCTGCAGAGCGCCAGGGACTGAAATCCTGACTTTCTTCCCTCTCATCTCTCGGCTGAGAGTTGCCTGTGTCTGATGATATGAGGGAAGCAGAAGGAGCCGGGTCCAGAAGTCCTGGGTTCTAGTCCTCTCTTCCTCTCTATCAGGCTGTCTAACCTTGTATGAGTGACTTAATTTTTCTGGGCCTCAGTTTCTCAACCTGTAGCATATAAAAAAACCTGTATATAAGGTTGCCGTGAGGAATAGTATTTGGGGCACTGTAAGTGTTCATGAAATATGAGAGGGGAGAAGGGGCAGGGGTGGGTGGAGGGAGTTGCCTTGCCCTCGCTGATCTGGCCCTTCTGGGTCTTTGGTAAGATTAGAAGTTCGGCTGTCTTGATGATGAAGCTCCGTGCCTTCTCCTCCCTTCCCTTGCAAGCACTGTTTCTATTTTTGAGCTGCCACCCCAGTCCCCTAACCCCCCTGAATAATATAGGATTCCTAAGAACCTTCCCAGCCCTAAAAGGAAGAAGCAATGGTGAAAACTCTCTGACACAAAACACAGGGCAGGCTGTTGGCTCCTTCGCCCGGTCCCAGCAGGCCACACCTAGCTTTAGCTCTGGAAGCCCAGACAGTGGTGGGCGGGGAGATAAGGGAGGTTTAGAGGTCCTAGGGGAAATGTGGGAGGTCCTTAGACCCAGGAGGTGCGAGGGGGCCCCAGGGGCCAGGAAGTTACAGGGTCATGAGGGAGGAAGATGGGGCCAGGATGTGGGGTCACCTGGCAAAGCTCCTGACAGAGGCCCTCTGTAAGAAATGGGTCTGTGAACATCTGTGAACACTAGTCAAACCTTTGTGCTTACCTCCTTCCCAAAACCCATAGTGCACCCTTGCTTAGCTCATGGGAAGCATGAAACATCTTTTCCTTCTCTTGGCAGACGCCGCCTCCCAAGGGAATACTCGATATCTTTTCTCCCCTGACACCCAGCAAGTGATTTGACAGCCAAAGGAAAAGGGGAGACGCCAGCTGAGATCCCATTTCCAGGGCGGCAGGGCCAATGGTGAAGAAGGCCAGAAGCACGGGCCAGCCCAGCTGTGCCTGGATGCAGCAGGGGGTGGGACAGCCCTTGGCCCAGTTAGACCCAGTGCTCGGCTCGGGAGTCCTCCCCGGGAGCCCTTCCCTGACCACCAACCTCATGCCGACCACCTCCCCTCCCCCAGCACTTCCCTTCCCTTCTTAGCATCCTGCTTTATTTCCTTCCTGGCCCGAGATGTACTGGTTTCTTGCCTAATGCAGGCCCTGGCGTGTAGGTCCATGAGAAAGGAGAGCTTCGTCCATCTGTTGCATCCTTGTATTCTGTGCCCAGAATCCCTGTGTCCTACTCTGGGTGTACCAGGCACAGAACAGGTGCCCAGAATACCTGTTGAACGAGTGGACGAATGCCATTTCCAAAGCATTTGGCCCAGCGGGAGTTGCTCGCTCATTCTAAGTCAGTGGGACACACGAAGAAGAAAAAGCAGTTGTCCCCTGGATAGGTGGATGATGTGTGTGCTGTGAGCATGCACTGTGGGTGTGCGCTCTGAGCATATGCCCTGAGTGTGTACTATAGGGATGTGCCAGGTGTGTACCACAGGCAAATACTGTGCGTGTGTACTATGGGTGCAGCTTCACACTTGGGGCTTCACATCTGTCAGTCTCTGGAATTATCACTGTCAATCCGGGATGTCATTTTGAGGATGAAGAAAATAAGCCTTGGGGCTTTCAGCTCAAGCCCGCACAGCTATGTGCTAGTGACAGGAGGCCAGAAAACCACCAAGGGTATCCCACATAAATCTTAGTGTGGGAGAACTGAAGAGAAAGTGGGCTGAGCTAAGGCCCCAACTCTAGGCACCAACCTTCCTCTGCTCCTCTCCCCTCGGGGGCCTTTCTGCTCAGGCCTCCCTCCTGCCCAGCGAGGGGGCCCTCACTAGACAACAGTTTTCTACTTGGATGCCTCCCAGTCTGCTCCTGCCTCCCCTAGAGGAAGGTGGGGTTCCGAGTCTGCTGGGAATGGAGCTCTGATAAGGGACGGGCCCTGCCAGACATTGCATAAGGCAGCAAAACTGCACGCCCCTCGCGTGCAGAGGCCAAGAGCACCGAGGGGGCTGGGCCTCAGCAGTCAGAGGCTCTGCTCCCCACTCTGTTCCATCGGAGGAAGAGCCACCCCGAGAAGAGGAGCTGAGAGGGGAAGAGGCCAGAAGGGGGGCTCTGGGGTGCAGTGAAGGCCCCTGTGGGAAACTCTAAACCAACAAACATCCCGTGGGCCACAGCCCGGGGGTAGAGGGCAGGTGCCCCACACACAGTGCCACCAAAGCCCGTGAGGGGAAACCTCAGAAGGGCTTCCTGGAGTTGTCTCTGAATCCCCAAGAGAGTAGTACAGAGGGCAGGGCAGAGAGGAAGGGCTCCAACGCTGGGCCTGCCCCTGACGTAGGCCATCTTTGCGTGGGGAATGCAGAAGCCCATCCAGTGGCCTGTCCAAGCTGGGTTCCATTTCACATAGGTAAGGAGGGCCTGGGAAGGACCAAGGCTCCAGTACCTCAAGCCAAGTGTCTGACAGGAGAGTAAATGCCTAAGGGCTGTTGGATGCACCAGGGAGTGAAGGAAGAAGAGAGTGAGGACGTAAATGGATGTCTGGCTGATGCTCCCCTGCGCGGCTTGGGGCTGTCATTCCTCCTCGAGCCTGCTCACAGGCCAGGACTCTAGCTTCCTCTCCCAAGAACAAACCCCTCTAGGACCTCCTTACGGGCCTGCGCCCAGCCCCAGCCAAGACAGAGACAGACGAGAAGCAGCCAGAGTTGAAGGTGCGTCTTACCTCGGCAACAATGGACATCCAAGAACTTGTGAGAAGCTGTGGGCCACAGCCACGAGGTGGGCCATGGACCGGGCTGAGGGCCAGCCTGGTGGGGATGGGGCTGCCACAGACTCTCGGGGCATCAGCTCCGCCTGGGACGGACCCCGGTTGCCCCTCAGCCCTGTTTTGCAGTGTGGGGATGTGGGACAACACACTCTCTGCTCCCATTTGAGAGCTGCTTCATCGGGCCTGCTCAGCCCCGTGAGCAAAACATCCCGTGTAAACCCTAAAGCCAACAGGCACATGAAATACAGGGCTCCAGAGAACAGCCCCAGGGCCTGCCTGTCAGCAAAGGCACTTCTAACACCTCTCACACTCAGCCTGCAACCCTGGGCTGGGTCGGAGCTGACCCCCACTCTGGGCTTTGTCCAGTCAGGGCCTGCAGTGGAAGCTGGGGTCCAGGTTGTCCAAAGAAATGCATCCTGTATACTACTCCCCCTAGATCATGAAAAAAAACAAAACATAGCTCTTATCCTAATCCTGCAGAATGTCGGGACTTGGAAATTTTCTTACCTGCCCTTCCTCATTTTTTATCTATAGAAATTCAGGCTCAGAGAGACTAAAGGATACAAGTGGATGGTGACAAAACTCAAACTACTACGCGGGTCTTCTGTCTCCCAGGTTAGTGATGGCCCTGCCCCAGTGTAGCACTCTCACTCTCACAGCGTGGGCCACTTAAGAAGCTTCATTACCGGGATGGCAAATACACGGCACCACACACCACCACTCACGTGTCTTGTGCCTGGAGCAGACGTCACTCATCAATATCCTCTCCATAGCTGCGACTGCATGTGGCCTCATAAACCTTATTGCAGCACCAATCCATTAGAATTGTCAGGTGAAATAAAACCAATTTGCCCTCCCAACTTTACAGGATCCTTACTGGCTACCAAACAAAATTCCTCACCACCTCTTAGTTTGGCATCCTACGATCTGATGTCACCCCG